GCTCTTTTGTGGAGAGGCTGGGGTTACTCAGGTTCAAAGTCCGTGCTTTAAATCTTACTGGCTTTTCATAATCACAGGCAAAAATAGCACATACACCCACAAAAATACCACCCAACAGACAGAGGCTCACACAAAGCCAAACCAAGTTACAGTAAAAATAACCCAAACTCGCCAATATGAATGTGCCAGGCAAATCATAATTTTTATGATAAATCCATTTTTATGATAACACCCTACAGAGAAACAGATTCTTTAAGGTTAGGAAAAGTGGGCAAGGCCTTGTAGAAAGAGACAAAACAAGAATACAAACACCATTTCTGAAATTTGCCACAGGAGGGGGACTTCAGCAGAAAGAGAAAACACTTATAAATGTAATTATTATTTTCAACAGCTGGAGCTTTTAAAATGTGGGGTGTGTGTCCTCAGAGAGAAGTGGTCTCCCTGTGTAGAGAGAAGGGGTTCCTGGGCTGGCAGTTGTGGGCAAGGCATAGGCCAGCCCCGATGTTCCCGGGTGGTGGGCGCTGAGTGCTGGTAAGAGTGGACTCAGCCTGCAGCCCAGAAACACGAGCTTGGCGTCTCCAAGCCTGGATGCTCCGTCACCCAGTCCCAGAGCGCAGACCCACCTCGGGGAGTCCCACCCCAACTCACCTCTCCCTGTTTGCCCCCCTGGGGAGGGGTAGGCACCTGGCCTGGGCAGAGGGTCATGTGGATGTGGCGGCCCCTCTGCACGTCCCAGGGGCCGCCCATTCACCCAGGCCTTTCCCTTTTTTGAGAACTGGGAGCTTGCTGGCTGGGTTTGTTCCCACCAACAGTGTTCCCGTCCAGGGAGCTTAAAATAGTGCCTCTTGGCTGGGGCTGCGGAGTGAGCAGTGAGGCAGGCATTTGTGCAAATATGGGCCTGGGAGAAGGATTCCTGCCCGGGAGGGTGGGGGGCAGGGTGGGCACTCTGCAGGAGAGCCAAGACCTCCCGTGGTGGGTGCGCCCTCCTTCGAGGCCCCTCCTGCATCCCGACCTTCCCGGCTTCACTAGGCGGGTCTTGAGACCAGATCCATCAGGTCCACCTGGCCCAGCTGAGGCTCCAGGGCAGGGGGCTGTCTGCATCCTGCTGCTTCTATCCTTCTTCCATATCACATGCCTTTCCTACTAGGAACACCCCAGAAGTACTGTGCAGGCCCAACTCAAAATAGCTTTAACAGCAACAGTTACCAGTGACCACTGCAGCCGCCATTAAGCGAGCACTTTTCTCAGGCACTGCGCTAAGTGCCTTAACATGCCCGGATCTCATTTAATCCTCACACCAGCCACTGAGATCCAATCCTTATTATCTGCATAGTGCAAGAGAAACTAAGGCTCAGAAAAGTCAAGTAACTTTCCCAAGGTCATACAGCTATGCATAGATATGGGGGGGAAGTGGGGGTTGAGACTTAACCCTCAGCCTCTGGACTGACCTTTTGCCTCCTGGGCTGCACCCACTGCTCCTTCCCCACTGCTCTGAACCCCCATTGTCCATCCCAGCATCCTCACTTGGCATTGCATACAGTGCATCTGATTCAGTGTCTACTACGTGCCAGAAAATTACTGGGTGCTGTGTCCACATCCCAGAGCTCTCAGACCCCCTGGAAGGCTCTAGTTTGAACTTGGACTCAGTGAGCTCCTCCACATATAGGGTATGGATTGTGTGAGGATGTGGGGTGCGACTGAGGCAGCCAGACCTTCCTCCATGGGCAGCTGGCTTTACTGTCTCCTCTCCTGCCTGCGATGCACCTCTTCTTCCCCCACTGCTGCAGGGGGCCTTGATGCCCCAGCCAGATAAGACGCTGCTTCCCCACTTCCAGGAACAGCCAGGGCAGGCAGCAAATTGGCTTTGAATCCTCTGTGACTTGGGGAAAGTGACTAAGCTCTCTGAGCCTCATTTTCCCCCCTTGTAGATTTGGGGTAAAATTAAGACATCACCACAGGGTGCCTGGGAGGATTTAATGAGATGATGTGCACGAAAGACCTAGCACAATGCCTGGCATCAGTACACAGATACTAAGCAGCCACTATTGTTACTATTAATTATTTTCCAAAAATGGCCGTGTCCAGGTGTCAAAGCCTAGGCCTTGTACAGGGCAAGTTCACTACATGGAGAAACTCATTCGCTTGGCACGCACGAGCCTTGCCTGGTCCTGCTGCCCCTCTACCACTACTGCTCCCCACATGCTGCTTTGGGGTGGAAATTGTCTCCACAGGTGTCTCCAATGCCCCACCCTGCACCCCCTCATGCTGGTGGTCCTCATCAATAGAGTCGCTTGGGCATCATGGGCAATGCAGGACCCCTTTCCTCTTAGTCAGCCATCATTTTCAGCCCCAAGGCCCATAACAGGCAAAAGGAGTGGCTGGTGTGGAGGTTGGGTCTGGTCTGCTGTACTCTTCGGCATCTGGCTTTCTGGTGGCGCCACCTGGTGGCAAGTGTAGGGCTGCTCCTGGTCTGCTGCCACTAAGGGTTCTGGGGGGAAACGCACCATCCCCTAACCCTTCCACCGCTAGCCATTCACCCTTCCCTCATTCTTGGGTACTGGTCATCTCCAATGGGAAAAGAACAAGGCCCCCAAATTTGCTGTTGGCCTGAAGCCCCTGGAGCCAATTTCCTTATATTCCCCATTTAGCCAAGCCCTGGCCTGTGGGACCAGGGCTCACCCTTGGGATATTCCTGAGGCCCGATGATCCTTCAGAATTTTCCAGAAACCATGACTGGAGAAAGGGGCCTCTCTTTTGCTGTGACATGGCCCAGGAATAGGAAATTCACTGGTGGTAACTCGTCCCATCCCAGATTCCCCACAGCACCTACTTTAGTGCCCCATAGATGTCTCTCCTCATTGGAAGGGGTATTCCCTCAATCCCCAGGATTCACGCTTCTCCTCGACCTTGTCCAGACCAGCAAAGAGGCCCAGTCTGGCCCAGAGCTGTTGGTCTGAAGTTTGGAGGAAGAGCAGTAAGAATTAGGAAAGTGAGCTGAGCTTAGCCAGCCTTACCCAGATCCAGCACAGACATGCTGTGTGGGCTTGGGGAAAGGCTGTCCTTCTCTGGGCCTTCGTCTCCTTGTGGCAAAAAGGAGGGTAAAGAGGGAGAGTGACCCTCGGTATCTCCCTGACTAGCTGCTTACTAAAGTGCAGCTACCCAGGGGGGACCCTGGCTTCTATGTTCGCTGGCGCTGAAGGGAGGGCAGCCCCTGTGTTTGGGGGACAGAAGCATTGGGTATGGATTGCCAGCAGGTAAGGAGAGTGTGGTGGTTTCAGGAGTTCTGAGGACCAGAACTCCACTCCATTTCACACTTTTCTGTGAGTTCAGGGAGGGTCACCCACTTGAGTGTCTGTCAGGCCCACTGGCAGCAGCAGCAGAGGGGTGACAAGGGGCCTTTGCAGGGTACCAACAGGCTGCCGCATCCTTCACCCCTTGGTGTTGGCTGCTTCCCTCATTCAAAGGACTAGAGGTTGGTGGGGGCGGACAGCCTGGGGTGGGAGTGGGGCCCCTGGTTGCCTAAGGAAGTATTTTCAGAATCCCCCTCCCTCTGGAGTTTCCAGCGATAGAATAGAGCTCTGTCTAGTATTTGACCAAATATGGTGGTATCTCTCCAAGAGTGAGCTCCAGCCCAGCCAGCCTCTCAGTTATGCTGTGGAAACCTGCCCCGGACAGATTAATCTTGTGACATTCGGGAGTGCCTCGCACCGGTGTTCTTCCCTGCAGCGATTCCCGTAAATGACCGAGAGTGGCCCCCAGCAAGACGGTGTGGTCCCAGGTCTGGTCGCTGTCCTCTCCACACTGCCCAAGGCCTCTCAACCCAGAGGGTGGGCCCGAGGGGCCAGAAAGGGGTCAGCTGAGCTAGAGAACTGTGCTGTTCTAAGGCTAATCAGAGCAGTGACTGTGTCTAGTAATAATTAGGCAGTCACTTTATAATATTCCTTTTATAATAATACAGTTAAGTGTTTGTTGAGCACTTAATAGGCCAGGCGTCCGCTGTTTAACATGGTTCTTGCGATGACAACCCCTTTCTAAAGGTGTGGGGGCTGAGATTCTGAAAGATTTCAGGAAGAAATGGGCCAGGCCACTGTCCATTCCTTGCAGGACCCAAATTTTGCAGAGAGGGAAACTGAGGCTGAGAATTAAAGTCAGTGGCAGGCACACAGGGCAGAGTGGAGTGGAAGCTCCCTACAGGAGGGGGTTGTTGCGTTGGCAAGGCCAAAATCTGAGGCCTGGTCTTGTGAGAGCACAGATTCAGAAGCATGTTCCCAGCGGGCTAGGGCCGCGTGACAGAGAGGCCAAGAAAACAGCGTGGGGAGGTGGGGCGAGCCCCACAAAGGGACGGAGTAGGAACCCGCTCCGTCATTTTGAATTCACTGTGTCATCCCGGACAGTTCCCTTCCTGGCTCTGGCCTCAGTTGCCCTGCCTGTGCTGTAAGGGGGTGGCCTCTGGTTGCTGAGGGCTGTTGAGCTCACCTGAGGCTGGCTGAGGTGGGGGTGCCTAGGGCTGTTTCCCTGGGAGATGGGGCTTGTCTCCTGCTCCTGGCCAGTACACTCTGAGAACATTTGCTCTCCAGACCAACGGACAGCCCGGCCCCATCCACCCTCGCCCCCTTGCCATCTCCAAAGCCAACGAAGCTGATTGTCTCAGCCGGCCCTGTGGGTGCTGGCCGGGCGGCCGGCCGCAGGCCACAGGCGGGGGTGCCACCCGCCAGAGCCCCGCCAGACACACAGGGCATTGTCCCTCAGTCAACAGCCCCTGGGCACCTTGGCCTGCTCCTGGCCTGCCCCCACGGTCCTCACCGCCTGCCTCTGCGCCAGGCCCAGCCAGCTGGGGGCCCAAGCCTCCAGCTGATGACGAGCCCACCCACCCACTCCCCCCAGCAGCCCCCTGAAGAGCTATAATTGCTTCGCTGCGTCCTGTCGCTGCCATTCTCTTGGCGGAGGCCTCAGGGGTTCCAGGCGGGTGGCAGCTGCAGGCCGGCTGCCCTGCTCTCAGGATGGACTGGCCACACAGCCTGGTACGTGGTGCTTCCCCACCCCCACCCCACCCCCTTTTAGGGCCAGAGTGTCCAGGACTTCTTTCCTATTGATTCATGGCTGCCTCTGTTTGGCTTGGAATCTGCAGAAGCCAGTTCTCCTTCTGTCCTCTTCCCCAGCAGGAGGAAGAAACAGAGGTGGGTCTCAGAGGCTGCCGGCAGGGTCCCAGCTCAGGCTCCTGAAGTGGGCCCAGTCAGCCCCTCGACACTGGAGCCCTTTCAGGCCAGAGGCATCTGGGGAGATCCTGGCAAACTCACTTCTCGGGGTTTTTCCAAAGCGTCCCTGGGTTCTGGGATCCAGGCCTTGTGACCTTGGGCAAGTCCTTCTGTTTCTCATCTCGGAAGTGGGGGCAGGGGACTATGGAAAGAGAGCTTGGATTTCTCTATGAAGGGAAGCTGAGTTTAAGAATGCTACGTGAGAAGCTCAGAAGAGAAGGCCTATTGTTAGGGAGAGTCATTTCTGAAGCAGAATGTAGGACCAAAAAGGAAAAATTTAGCGACTTGAATCTCTGTTGTGAATTTTGTGCCAGCAAATGGCCCTGCCAAGAGGGGCTATGCTGAAACTTGTTTTCAAGGGTCAAGTCTTGCTGGGTAGCCTGGGAAAATCAGGCACAGGCCAAGCAGGCCAGGGGGTAAGGGAACAGGGCAGGTAGGAACCTGGCTAGCCTCTGGGAGGAGATGAAACTACCTCTGCAGATTTCTCCCTTCTGGTCAGCCCTGGACCCCGCTCAGCCGGGCTTTTGCTGGCTCTCCAGTCCCGATGCCTTCTGGTGTTGGGGTACGGAGTTGGGAGGAGGAGAAATGGATGGTGGTGGGTGAGGTTGGGTAGGAGAGGGGAGGAATGGACCAGGGCTGGGGTATGGAGAGGGGAGTACAGGGTTACAGAGATGGAGTCCAGGAGGGATCCTTGGCCACAACCTGCCCATCTCATCTCATGCTCTGCCCTTCTTCCTGCCCACTTGAGTCCAGCTTCACGCTCTCCTTTCAGCAGAGCTGACTTCCCTGCACACTGTTCCGGCTGCCTGTAAGGCTCTTAGACTCTGTCTGACTCCTTCTAGCCTTCAAACCTCACCTGACGTGTCCCCTTCCCCTGGGGTAACCTGCACTGCTCAACCACACCCTGCACAGTCCATTGTTGGCCTTGTTTTGAGTGAGCTGGTTTGTTTTCTTGTTCACTGTCTGCTCTCCCTCCCAGACTGCAGGCTGGGGAAGCGTAGTGTCTGTGGCAGCTATTCGGCTACTCGGCCAGTGTTTAATGACTATCAGCGCCAAGCACATGCACACACAGGAGGTAGACAGGGTGAAGCACTGATGCCAGGCCTGCCCTCATGAGTCTGCTTAGTGGGGGTCAGAGTGCAGTGACCCACCCATACAAATTGAGACTGCGAATTCGCATGTGATGATGCAAGGCCAAGAAGGCCCCGGGAAGTGACACTGGGCAGCGGCATGAGGAGTCAGAAGCATTTAGGAGAGGATTTGCGGCAGGACTGTGCAGGCAGCAGTCTGTGCAAAGTCCCTGTGGCAGGAAGGAGCATGGGGAGAGGAGGATCTAGGTCAGAGGCTGAACCACAGGAGTGATTTGAGGAGACAGAGCTGAGACCCAGGAAGGTAGCTGTCAAATTTGCTTATCAAATGGCTAATTGATTGGAAGGAGCCGAGCGGGCTTGGAGAGATCAAGCAGGAGAGCTGAGGTGTCTAGGGAAGTAAGGATGGTGGTAGATAGAAGTGGATGGTTGGGGAGATTTTTAAGAGGTGTAAGAGACAGCGCTTCACGATGAGTGTGGTATATACAGGGCTTCATACACCTCTCCTCTTCCCTCGCTCCTTCCTGGGCCCTAAGTCTCGGCCCAGAGGGAGCCCTGACTTTCCCATTTTTGATCCATGGCCTCCTTCCCCAGCTGTTCCTTCTCACCATCTCCATATTCCTGGGGCTGGGCCAGCCCAGGAGCCCCAAAGGCAAGAGAAAGGGTCAAGGACGTCTCGGGACCCTGGCCCCTGGGTCTCACCAGGTGCCACTGGATCTGGTGTCACGGGCGAAGCCATATGCCCGCATGGAAGAATACGAGCGGAACCTTGGGGAGATGGTGGCCCAGCTGAGGAACAGCACTGAGCCGGCCAGGAGGAAGTGCGAGGTCAACCTGCAGCTGTGGCTGTCCAACAAGAGGAGCCTGTCTCCCTGGGGCTACAGGTAGGCTGCGCTTGGCGGGGGTGGGCAAGCTGCGTTTTGGGGGGATGGGGGCACCTGACCCCCACCCCTGTCATTGCAACAGTTAAGCCCTGGGATTCGGAGAACGAGCGCCTGGGTCTGAATCCTGTCTCTGTCTCTCACTGGTTTCCTGGCTTTGGACAAGTCACTTTGAGTCTCCGAGCCTCAGTTCCTTCAACTGGGAATGGAGGTGACAGTAGCATCCAAGCCCCAGGCTTGTTATTAAATGAGGGATCCATGCAGAGCATTGCCACTGCTGTTCTCCAAGTTTCCGCTGACATGTCCACAAGGCCCAGGTTTCCTCCAAGCTTGGAGCGTGGCGCACACCTACCTGTCGGACATGGCCCTTCTGGTCTGACGGTCACTCCTGGCGGAACCGTCTGCGCGGCGACATCAGAATCACCGTAGGATTCTTATGCCTGGTCCAACCAAAATCTTCAGGGGTGACAGTGGACGCTCCCTTTTCTGGGTCTCCACTTCCTAGCACAGCAGCTGGCACACAGAAGGGGCTAAGTGCATATGTGTTGAATGAATAATGAAGAAAGAGCCTGGACTGAAGGGTCCTTGCTTACCACCAGGCCAAAAAAATTTTAGCCCCATTCACCTGAACTTTCTGTGACTATGTCAAGTCCAACATGGCGGCCACCATGGGGACCGGGCCCTTGCAATTTGGGGACTGGGCCCTTGCACGTGGGGACTGGGCCCTTGCAATTTGGCTGTTGCGACCAAGCAGTTAGTTTTGGATGAGTCTCACTTTCATGAGCTGGCTGGTGGGGCTGTGTCTGGAATGTGGCAGTTGGAAGGGCATGTAAGATCTGAAGTTGGGCCTCTCACTCTACTATGCCCTGGACTTTCTGGGGGATTGCATGAAAATGCAGACTTTGGTCAGGAAACCTGGGCAAGGATGAGACTCTGCAGCCCTGGGGAGCTTCCAGGGGAGGCTGGCACAGCAGCTCTGTGAGTGAGTTCACCTCCCACCTTCAGCCGATGAGGAGGTGGTGGCACAGGGAAGCAGGGCTCACAAAGCAAACCCTGTACCCTAGGCTTGTGGAGGGGACTCGTGTGATGCATCAGAGCCATCCAACGTCTAGCACAGGCTCTCTCACATGGTGGGTGTGTGAAAAATATTTGTTGAATGACTAGAAACCAAGTCAGAACAGACCTTGGGGCCTCCCGACTCCACTCCCAGAGGGCACTAGGCATTAGTGTGCTCACCTGTTATTTCCCGTGGATTAAGTTTCCTAAGGATATAAACAGGGGTTGGGGTGTGTGGGAGGGGAGGTAGGAGTGAGGAGGTCTGGGGCCTTCGGCTTCTTTCATGATCCCATAGCGCAGTTCTGCCCCCGGACGGCCACCATGCTGATGAGAGCAGGGAACTGGGCGATAGAGAAACTTGGGGCTGAGTCTTGACTTCTAAGATCTTTGGCTTTCTCACTTGGAACACGTCGTTGACTGCTGGGCCCTTCCTGCAACCCAGCATAGTCTTGCTGTGAAATGAAAACTCAGGCTAGGAGGGGCAGGGCGTGGGCACGGTGCACACTTGCCTATCTCCACTGCCTTCCACCCAGCGCTCTCTCCTGACTCCCCGCAGCATCAACCACGACCCCAGCCGCATTCCTGTGGACCTGCCAGAGGCTCGGTGCCTGTGTCTGGGCTGTGTGAACCCCTTCACCATGCAGGAGGACCGCAGCATGGTGAGCGTGCCCGTGTTCAGCCAGGTGCCCGTGCGCCGCCGCCTGTGCCCGCTGCCACCCCGTGCCGGGCCCTGCCGCCAGCGCGCCGTCATGGAGACCATCGCCGTGGGCTGCACCTGCATCTTCTGAATGCCCAGGCCAAGGGTTCCCCTGTACCTGCATGCCAAGTCAGACCAATGAAAAGTAAACACTATGTTTTGTAAAGCAGAACCTTGGATTTGCTCCTTGAGGCTCTCAAGCCAATACCAGGGTGGGAGTCAGTTCCTGGGAGGTAGATTTCAGATCAATATCCAGCACGAAAGTAGGCTATTTAATCACAGAATTTAATTCCTCTACCACTGCGCATGCACCAACCACTTAGGACAATCACATACTTTCTTTAAGAAAGCCCTGTTTCAGCCACGCCAATCTGCTTGGTTGGTGGAAATCTACACAGCACTGAGAGCACTGACTGCCCAGGGAGGTCGAGGAACATTGCAAACAAGCTGTTGGAGGTGGTAGGTCCCTGTCTCTGGAAGGGTCCAGCCAACGCAAAATCTCTAAGGCTAGGTGGTGCAAACCCCTGCTCTGCTGGGTCTCTTTAGACTCTGAGGGTCCTTGCAGGTCAGACCTAGAGCCGGACCACAGCCTCTGCTTGCCAAAGAGCGGGGATTCTAGCCAGGGCCATTGAACCTCTGACATTTTCACGCAGACATGCCTTCTTCTGGGCTGGGGTCCTGGACTTTGAGATGGTGTTGAGAACATCCACTAAGATCATTCTCCTGCCCAGTTTTTCTGCAAGGGAACCTTAGATATCAGTGATTCTCAAACTGCAGCCAGCACCACCCTGACCATTAAAGCCCTGGCTTCAGGGCCCCACACCGGGGGATTCCGATCCAGTAGGCTCGAGGTGGGGTGAGACTTTGCCTTTCTCTGCAATGGTTGTTCTGTATTTTTAATGCAGTGCTCTCCAGGGGTCCTGGGACTCCACTTTGAGAATCACTGTCTTCTATTTAGACACTGCAGATCAAAACGCAGTGCCACTGACTTGTCCTGAAGCCCCTGTGACTCCTGACCCCTGGTTGCCTGTCCCCACCCCCACACTAGCCCCTTGCAATTCAATCCTTCCCCGTCCCTCTACAGCAAATACTAAATCAGCTGTTCTAGAAACTAAAAATACTTCCTCTTCCCCAAGACAGCTGAGGGGCTCAGGCTATTTTCTGAGGGTAAGAATAACTAGTACTTGAGAGTTAATTTCAATAAAAGGGCCAACAGCCAGTGTAGGAATACTTTGCTTGGCTGCTTTCCGTTTACTGCTTGAAGCAGTTTTAAGTTTGAATGTTTTAAGGGGCTAATTCATGAGAGGGCAATGGTTAGGTATGTGCCTGTCTGGAGTGGTAAGTGTCTTACCTTTTTTGGTATTGTTCTAGAGTGGATACTGGTTAAAATTACCCCCGGAAGCTTCAGCCTGGTTCCAGACACATGGAAAATAGACTCATGTGCCAGCCCAGCCGATGCCTCTTCTCCCTGGGGGTGACTCGCCTCTTGGGCCCCCAGTCTGTTCTCCAGATTGTAGGGTTGCAGCCACACGAGGGAGCCTGGCCTCTAAGGCCTTTTAATGGGGTGAGGGTGTGAGTAGAATTGAGCTGCTGGACCTCCTGGCCAAGGGAGACCTGGGTGTCCTGGTAGGGGTTGGCTGGTGCCACTCCTCATCTGGCAGGGCCAGTCTTACTCCATGGAGCACCAGGCTCACAGAGGTCCCCAGTAGATGCTGTTGTTTGGATGGCACCTTATCCTCTCTCTGGGCTTCAGTTTGCTCATCTGTGAAATGAGCAGATAGATTCAGGGATCTTTAGTCTTTTTTTTTTTTTCCTCTAAGATTTCTTTCTTTATTTATACAAACACTGGGTACAGTCAGAAGGGTGGGAGGGTGAGAGAATTCACCAGAGCCAGAGCAGGGAACAGAACAGGCAGAGTGATGAAAATACACGGCTGAGGGGAGCAGCGGGCGGCAGGAGAGGTCTGTGCACCATGTGGGACCCTTGCCAGTGGCCGGGGATCAAACCGGTGCTGCAGAGGCTGTGGGCAGCTTTGCAGGCCAGCGCTCAACGGCTGCGCCACCAGGGGAGGCCCAGGGATCTCTAGTCTTGCCCGATTTTGCGATGAGAGGCAGGCCTCGTGGGTGGGGAGCAGCCTTTTCCAGTGCCCAGGTGGCGAGGCAGCACCTTAACCTGAGCCTGAACTTTCATAACCAATACAACCCTTTTCTTGCTTATGCCAGTTCGAGTTCTGTTCTCCTTCAACCAAAATCATTCTTACTGTCAGACTCCAAATTTCTGCAAAATCTACTAGTGCATGTAACCCTCACTACCACCACCATCACCTCAGCAGAGTAAAACCAACTTGAGTCAGTTTGGCTTTCATCCACTTGAAGGGTGTATGCCCCGTGCTGACTTCATGTAATTTTAAAAAGCTACAGATTTCAGATCTGCTCTGTGCTCGCCAAGAGACCATGGAAGTGTGATTTCCTCACTTTGGGCATCCCTACAAAACAAGCAAGTTAGTAGCATGACTTGTGGGGCTGTCCTGAGGAAAGCCTCCATATCAGTGTCATTTGGCAGCATTTCCTCCTGGAATCTGAGGCCCCCTGCTCCCCACCTCACACAGATTTAGTGGGTCTGGGTAGCAGTGGGCATCTGTATGAGGCTCAGCTCTGAGTAACTCCAACCCAACCCTTTTCTTCTCCTGGGGTGAATGTTTTGGTGGGAGGTAAAACTGCCCTCTTCTATCTGGTAACTTGTCTTCGTGCCTATGGAACAGAATGGTCAATTGTTGCAGGTGCCAAGGAAAAGTGTTCCTCTTCCTATGGCCTGGTATGTTTCCCTTTTTCTCTTGATTGCCAGGAAGCTCAGAGCTGTAATGACAGTTCTGCTATGATAACTATTTCTTCCCTGGGTCTTACCAGTCATCTCTCCCAAAATGCAGTGTGCTAAGAGGCTTGGAGATGGGGTCTAGTATGTTCTTAGCTGGTAGCTTCACTTCTAGCAAGCCCAGAGTTAATAGAAGCTATTATCCTACCTAAGTTTTTTGATCTTCTATCTTATTTATTTGTAATGTAACCATTGGTTATGTTTCATTATAGGTTGTCTCATGTCCACTTTGGGAGTAGACAGTGGGAAAAAAAAAAGAAATTAGACTCAGACTTTGCTGGCTTATGTCACCTCCCACGGTTATCCCCATCTACTAGTTAGAAAACCAAGCCAGGAACAGCTAGAGAAGACAGATTTTTATTTCTTCTTAAAAAAAAATAAATAAAATGAATACATTGGTTTGAATTTCCTTCCTTTCTCTTATTCTCCGCCTTAAAAAGAGCAACCACTGTAAGGATCCTTAAGATAGAGAGGCAGAGAGTGGCTACCTGCAACGCCCCCCCCCCCCCAAGAGAGAGAACACTCCACATACCAGGGGTAAGAGGTTGGGGAGGGCATGTGTGACTTGTCCAACCTTGACTGCGGTGGGTGATCCATCTTCACTGGGGGGCTCAGTGGGGATGGAATGGTTCTAGTCTCTCTCTGGAGCCCTCACAGTTCAGTCTTCACCTTGTGCATCAGATCCTTTTGGTCAATCTTGTCTAGGTCCTGGTACCAGCGATTGAAAGCCAGCAAGGCCACGTTCTTGGCTGCTACGGCCATCACCTCCACGGAACTGGCTGCCCACTCCAGGGCATTGAGGTAGAAGAGTTGGTCATGGAGCTCGAAACGAGGGAGGGTGGCATGGGAACCGTAGAGGGGGTGGGCCTGCCATTCGGCCGTCTGGACTGAGTAATAGGAACGAAAGAGGGTCTTCAGCTGGGTCCGCAAGAGGGGCTTGGGGGACTGGACTCGCCAAACAGCTGCCTCCTGAGGCTGTTTGCGCCGGAAGCTGCCTGAGATATTGACGGGACAGATGTTGTCCAGAGCACAGAAGAAGTTGGGGAAATCTGTGGTGAGGATGCTGGCAAAGGGGAAAAGCTTAGGGTCAGGGAAGCCGAAGTAGGAAGAGTTGAGGTAGCCGTGGACCAAGGAGATGACGGTGGGCTGGAAGGAGCCCTGGGCAACAGCAATGGGCGGGTCGAAGCCTTGGAAGGCGATGGTGCTACTGCCGTTGTCCAGGGGCAGGGGCGTGGCGATAACCACTATGTCGTAGAAGTCGGAACCGTTGCCCATCTCACTCTCATACCCTACTTGGTACAAGGCTTTCCCTTCTGGAAGGAGAAAGAAGAGAGCACGAAAGTCAGCTGATTTCTTGGCTTCCACATGTGGATTTCCCATCTAGGTTCCAGCATTGAGGGTACAAAATGACCGAGGGGAAAGGAGGCTGGTGGGCGGCCTGCATAAGAGGGTGGGCCCGCATGGAGCTCTCTCCATGCTGGCGTGGCTCAGGGGAGCACTGGGCTGGGAGTCAGCCGAAGCTGTGGCTGATGAGCTTGGGGAGTGCTTGTGGCAGCTGCTCAGTGCTCAGGAGATGAGATGATAGGTGGATGCTAGCTGGATGCAAGTCCCTGCTTCCTGGCGCTGACATACACATCTGACTCGGGACAACAGTGCCCCCTGGTGTCCCTCAGCAGTGCTGGGGCTTCCCATTGGATTTTTGGGATTAAGCTCCAGCATGTGATAGACCAGGGTGTAGAGACAGAAGAGACAGAAATGCTGCGCTGTTTAGGAAGGGAGTGGCCACACTCCACGCTCTGTCACTCACCTTTACTGTGCAGGGTCACGGAGGTCACTGTGGCGTGGATCACGTTGGCCTTGGTGAGCCTCAGCAGGCCAGAACAAACCAGCTTGTTGCCTCCCTCCACGGACCACAGGCTGCCCTGGGCCCCAGCTAGAGACATGGCTCCTGGGCAAAATGGAGAGGGTGGCAGGTGGGCTCTCAGCACAGGCTACCTGGACCACCTCCCAGCCCAAGACTCCTTCCAACCACAGGCACTGACATAGCAAATGCACAGATAAATGCCACCAAGTCCATAATGCTACAAAGACAAAACATGCTCGGTACAAGAACCAGCTACAAAGCCCACAGACTGTGTGACTCTGTATTCAGACAGCCCAGAGTGGGCAAATCCATATAAACACAAAGCAGATTGGTGGTTGCCTAGAAGGCTGGGGAGGTGATGGGTAAAGGT